CATGTTTCTACATAATAGGGAAGCCTAGAACTCAAGACAGCACTTTGGCATCTTGGCAGTGTTGAGAGTGCAGCCTCACAGCTCCCCATCCCAGAATTATACTTAGTTTAAAACCCCAAGCATCCCATGACCGCTTCATGGTACTTGATAACACTTAATTGAGGACATTTGTTAAGGTCAATACACCTTTCTAAATTCTTTAAGAAACACTCCTTTACTCAAGGTTTAAGTCACTTGAGAACAACTGAATATACTTTCTATTATATCAACAAGGCATTTTTAAAAGCCACTATAAAAGGAATTCAGCTGGTAGAATTCAGCAGATAGAATTCCTTTCATTATCATCTTTTAAGGGAAACTGAAAAATAACAAGTTCCAATAGTCCTTTCTGGTTAAAAAGTTATTTAAGTTTTGATATCTGTTATTAGACCATTTAAAAATTTTCACCTATAAGGATATGCAAGGGACATATAATATAGGTTTTATAGAGTATCCATTTTTAAAAGTGTCATTATAGTGTCACATCATTAATTTTACTTTTTCAGATCAAGTTAAAATATATACACAAATTCATCTTCACCAAGTTTTTTTTGATGGGGACAATTAGGTGCCCTACCTGTATATGAACAGCAGGATGGGGGCTCAGCGAAGACTTGTGTATAGTTGATTTAAGTGTACAAACAAGCATAAAGGTTCTGCACCTCCTCCAAACTAAGGAGATAAAAGGCAAGGGTTCTGTTAGACTTCAGAATCTCTTAAGACTCAATTTCTTCCACATACCAGGATTATCTTCTGATCTGATCTACTTTCTGTACAAATCTAGGCTGGCTTCATAAGCCACCTTTTACAAAATATCTGAAAATTGTTTTGAGTTTTTCTCTAGTGTTACAACTACTTCTGTAGAAAAAGAAATAAATCTTAAACACTTCTTTTTCAAGCATGACTGTAAGGAGGAACTAGTGAATTCTAACTACATGTCAAGTTCTATGCTGGGCACATTACAATTGTGATTTCATTGATCTCTCTTTAAAAAAAAACCTTATGAGGTAGGTATTATTTCCATTTTCCAGTTGAGGACACTGGAACATAGGCAGATTAATTTCTTAAGGCCACACGGCAGAGTTCTATCCAAACCCATAGCAGAGTTCCAGGCAAACCCTGGCTAAGACCACAGGATCTGTGCCAAGTTCATTGCATTGGACCAGTTTCATTTCCTGCACCTTTAAGCATTTTCCTGAATTCCTCAACTTGTTGGCTGCTAGTTAAATGTCCCTCAGTCTATTAATTTATTCTTCTTGAACATATGCAAGTGATGCTAAGCAAATCTAGCATATTGATTAATTCTTCCTACACATGCTTACTTGGTTTGTTGTTATTATTGTTGTTGTTGTTGTTTAGTTTTACCTAAACAAATGATTAGTTTTTCAGATAGGGCCATTTTCAGATTATCCATAATTTGCTTTTGTCTTGGATCAAATAGAATGGAACATTTACCACAGTTTCATCAAAACCAAGAGGAGGTACAAGTGTGTCTTCTAGTCCTTTTTATAAGTAAAGAATACACCTCTGTGTGGTTTCATGTCACTTAGAAATAACTTTCTGATTCACTTTTTACTCTTTAACATGCTGAGTCCTCTACTGTAAAAGGATAGCCAGGGTTTTAGGAATTCACAGTTCAATGTCCACACTGACAGATCAATTACATTCACTTACTAGCTATGAGGCTTAAATAACACTTTACTTGAAAAGAGTTCTGGTTATTGGATAAGATCACCCAGTACAGCCATGACCAAGAGGTAACAATTTATAAAATATTGTGAGATCTACTTGTTGAAAAGGCAGAAGGGTGTGTCTCAGGCTTACTGTAGCACCTAGCACTGTGGAGAATATCAAGGTCTGAGATCAATTACTGAACTGTCATTGAAGGATGTCAGAGTTAAAGGTGCCTAAAGTGAACAACAATGCAGCACCATACTCTCTCTTCCTCTTGCCAATGTGGTGATGGTTCTCTCTCAGGCTTATGCAGGTGGAACGCTGAGTATAATACACCCAAAGCCACTACAAATTCTTCTTATGTTAGAGAAGGAAGGACCTCCCTGACATTTATACAGCATCAGTAAAAACAGGGACCAAAACAACAGTGCATCACACAGGGAGCCAGTGAAGGAAAGAGAACTGAGAGCAGGTGTTCGGCTGTATGGTGAATGGTCCATTTAAAAATTCAACATAGTCGGAGAGGAGCACGGAGTCAGTACACCACCGCCACCATGGCTGGTGAAACCAGCCCTTCTCAATTCAGTGTAAACTCACACCCTGAAAGAAGCTAACACTATGAAGCAAATTTCCACAAACCTAGTGCATCATTTACTTTAAACAGTATTGTTTTAAAAGCATGCTCTTCAGGAAAAAAAATCACTGAAAGAACTACTCATGCAACAAAAATCTGTGCACTTCCATGTAAAACTCCCCATGAGGTATTAATCATTAGCACAAAGAAACAGGCAAAAGCAGCCTTCTTGCTGCAACAACCAACTAATTATCTTTCATAACTCTTTTGAAAAGCAAATGTAGATGTAAAAGCTCAAGTGAAAAACATGTTAAATGCATTTGTGTCTAGACTTTGCCAAGAAAATAAGGGAGTTTAAGTGCACAAAATCAAAAGATTTAAGCAAGAATTTCAAATCAAGATTAAAAAAAATTCAGCCTCATATTTTAATGCATCTTGTCTTTAGAATTTTATGTTTTTACATTCAGCTGAGGGGAATGTTGCCATATATTCAAGATGAACATGCATTCTATATGGTGAGTACCACCAACATAGAAAAATTGTAAAAATAAAAAATGCTTTTCAGGCATCCTTTCCCTTAAAAGCCTGCACTTTCCTACAAACTGCATCATAAACAGAGTATCTTTTGGAAAGTAGCTGGATAGAGCACACAAGGATAGCTTCACTATCCCAGAGAACTTAAAACTGGGAGGTCAAGGAAGCAGAAAATGAAGTACAGGTAACTAATCACTGGGTACCACAACACAATGGATGCAGGCAACATGTAGAGCAGGAAAATATGAGGGGAGGAAACCCACGGCTATCTGTACAATATATACAGATTTTTTTTCAAATGGAAATTTTAAAATGAATGCTGCTATTATGCTACTGCATAAAGCAAAGCAAAATGAGGCTGCTCTACTTCCCTTTAAACACAAGGCATAAAGAGTAAGGGATGTGAAAAGCCAATTCTTTGTGCTGCTACTTAATCAATCGCACTCAGTTCCACTCAGTGACATAGCCACACTGCAAAGCCCACTCAGCAGTTAATGGACATAACGCTGGAAAAGCACTTTGAGGTCTTCCCAAGAAAGGTAAGGTGAACACCCACAGGAGCATGGTTTTATTACTTAGGCCCTATAACTGAACAGCAGTATGTATGAAATGCCTGTGATCTAAAAAAGAAACAGTTATTTATTCTGCAAATTTTGATTCTTTCTTATGAAATCATTTCTTTCAAAGACTGAACCCTAAAGTCATACTAGAGTTATCTTATGCCCTGGTTTGGTCTTGTCAGGATAGCCATTACACACTGTAAGGAATAACTAGGTTCTTCAAGTGTCACGGTCCATGCTTACAATCTGTCACAATGTAGAGCTGAGAAGGAGTTCTGTGTTTTTGACTGTATACATCCATCATTTAGCTATCAATCTTCTCACAGACAGGAAAAAAGTCAACAATGAAAGAGAAAAGCTAAAAATAAGCAACTGAGCAATTGCTCAGAAAAGCTGTAGCACTGGGGATGGGTTAAATGTACATTCCTTCCTTTTTTTATTACTGCCAATTTAAAGCAATTGAAATTAAGAGCTCAGAACTAGAAATAAAGAAACTAAACATGCACTGTATAAATATGTAAAAGTCAGTTGAAAAATAAAACTCCATGCTCATAACCATACAAGATCGGTGTTCAGAATAAATAACACATGCCCAGAATGCAAGTAGTGACTAATATATGTTGCTGTAGTATCATGAAAAAGGACAGTTACAGGCACTTCAAATGTTCAAAGAAAAATTTAATGTCATTTCCATACAAGTTGAAAATATTTCTTCACTCGCAGGTGTTCACACACTTATGTCCCCAAATCAATCAAATCAAAATTTATTAAAGACCCACTTGTGTGCACTTCATTATGCTCTAATGACAGGTAACAGTGCATAAAAATGAGTATAGTTTACATGCAGGCATACATTCAAAATATAGGTGTAAGTGTATATTATTAACTATAGAAATCATATAATCCAAAAGAATACCAGGTTCTGAAAAATTAATAAATCCATGCCATAAACAGGATGTTTAGTTTTCTTCTCATTCTTTAAAAATTTATTAGGTGAGAAAGGCAGCATAAAAATCTTGAAGGTTACTAATTTGAAATCTTATTCAAAAAGAGATCTCTTACAACAGTAGTTTTTCAGCTACAAAATGACTCTTCTACCTAAGTCTCATAGAAAACCATAATATATTTTTGAGATAAAGAGAGGCATTTAATTGATTTTATAAGCACAAGTTTATAACATTTTAGATAAATAGGGTGTTTGGTAAAGAGAAAATGTGAAAGAAAGGATTATGGAATACAATTTCATTTTTCTATGAGCCTCAGCCTCTGATTCATTTCTGAATTTGGATTTTTTTTTGCAATGAGCAAACCTCTGATTCATACACCTAAGTGATTGCAAATAGTAACATTTAACAGCTTCCTTGCAATCTCAGGTTACTCTCCAAGCAAACAGAGACAGAAGGAGCAACTTCATTCCCATAGTGTGAACCAAAACTCAATAATCTGTTAGCACAAATTATGTCATCATCAGTGGTCTCAACTATGGCAACATTTCCCTAGTGTACACATGGCTGTGTATGTCATTTTTAAAAATGACAATATGAAACCCAAACCAAATCTTTGAGAAACCCAAAGCTCTCACTCAGAATGTCCGAGAGTTACTAAAATCTCTCTTAAAGCCTGAAAACCTTGCCAGGATCCACTGACTACTGGTGTTAGTAGCCAGCTATACACATGACCAAGGCAGACATAGCACACAGATAAGGATATACACCTGGGTGGCAAACCTAGGATTCCAGCAAAGTGTGCCATCTGCAGATCTGCTGGCCTTTGATTTCCTTCATTTCCTCCCAGTGGTCTTGCTCTTCTTCTCCACTGCTGTTCTGGCCCAGGGCGATCCAGCCGATCATCTCTTTACGCTTCATAGCACGCCTATTGTAAATGGAAATCATCAACGTGACATCAGATAGCTGGAAGAGGGCAACCTGGAAAACAAAGGTCTCCTTATAGACAGGATTGGGCTGACTACGTCGAATGGAGGTCTTGCAGCGGGACATCTCTTGACCCACAGAATTGAGGAGGAAGAGTTTTCCATATGTATCTATGGCAAAAACAAGGGGATGGGGTGAGAAAACATCAGTGCTGTTTTGTCAGTTCAGTTGTACTGTTTACATGGGCCTCGACTTTCTCTTTTCGAAATACTGATCAGTATCCTTATGCCCTGTCCTTGCTGTTAGACCAACCCATGTTCCATGAATTATTAAGAAGAGGGCTTGTTACCTTGAATGTCTAATGTGTCATGTAGCTCACAACCTGGCACATTGCTGAAGTTCATTAGAACCTGCTTCTGCATAGGATGCGTACATAGGTGCACAGATGTGTATGTGCAATGTGTATATGATGTCGCCATGTGCAGGTCTTAATACACAGTTTAGTTATATAACAAGATAAATATACACGCATGTGTATATATATATACATATATATATATACACACACATTTTTCTCTTTGGGTTTTTTCATAGTCAAATTACTGTTCTATGCCTAAATTAAACAATCACTACATATTCTTTGAACCTCATGTTCTCTTTCCTCTTTCCCTGTTATGCACGCCTCCCATGCCCTGGTATCCTAACTGATACCCACCCTCCCATGACTTCTATTAATTAAATCATTCAGCTTGGATATCACTTTGCCCATGAGTCTTTGCTAACTTCTTTCACCCACCAGCTCTGGGCCTCCACCAATACCTAGTGTTAGCCTATCTCACCACTTACCAGCCTTATCATTATTGCCTGCTTGTCTGCAAAGACTGTCGGCTCCTCAGTGGTAGAGATGGGTGGCCTTGTTTACCTTGGTATGCCCACACACACACTCCTGCCTGGTCTAGTGCCTAACAGGTGCTAGACTTTCAACAAATATTCTGTAATGAATATTCATAACTAGCCAGGCAGCACAACTTTCATTTTTTTTCTTTTGGTCTCAAGTTCTTGAGTTTCTGAAATGAAGCTAAACCTCTCATTTTATAATCCCTGTACTAAAAGGATGTAAAATGGTGACCACCATCATATTTTTAGTTATTTATACAAAGGAAAAACCGTCTAAATTTTACCAACATAATCTACTTTTACAAAAACTTAGGAATGGGTCATTGCAAAGGAAATTATCGCCCCAATTACAATTTACTATGACTTATCATTTTGACCTTCAAATACAATTTTTACTCCTAACTTTGATGTGTACTATTCTTTCAAAAATCAAAATGTTAGGGTGTTTCCCAAATTCCAACATCAGGTGCATTCTGCTCATTGCAGGCAGAAAGTTGATTACTGTTTACCGCTCACTTCCCCACCTAACCACCAAACTTTTTAAAGCCTAAACCCAGATCTCTGTAATTTACTGTTCTCTCCAAGAGCATTGTAAGGTAGGAAACAAATTACAACCTGCAGTTTTCTTTGTATGTTGATCTTTTTCTATTCCGGTTTGATGTGTTATTTTATGCACTTATCTGCTGAGAAACACAAGGTGTGAAATTACACTTCAGGTGTGAAAACACTTCTTTGTCTCAGAAACAGGGCTCTCCAGTCTTCAAACTGTTCTATGGAAAAAGCTGTCAGAAGATTGACAATAGGGTAGAGAGTCTGCACTTCCACTTCTTTACAGCTACACAGTTCCTGTAGGAAAGTTGAAGCCAGGCACCAATCTGCTCTAGCAATTCTTCTGCCATTTGTGGCAATGAGAATTGAGTTGATCTTGCAAAGACATGATCTTATCACCAAAAGCAATTTCAAGGTTTATTCTGTCACAAGATCACTTTCTAATTATGAGAAAGGCCAATTACTACTAATCGCCATCATTGAGGTTGGGTTGCACATACATGATGCAGAGGAAAAATAATTTTATAAACAATCCAGTCATGCCGGGTACTGGTGGCTCACACCTATAATCCTAGCTACTCAGGAGGCAGAGATCAGGACCACCATGGTTCAAAGCCAGCCATGGTTCCACGAGACCCTATCACAAAAAAACCTTCACAAAAATAGGGCTGGTGGGGTGGCTCAAGGAGAAGGCCCTGAGCTCAAGCCCCCACACCACAAAAAAAAAAAAAATCCAGTTTGAGGACACCTGACCAAAGGAAGGAAAATGTTGCAGATTCTCCAGTTCAAAAGGGAACCTTCCATCACAATGATAATGTGATTACTTTCCAACATCCAGAGCAGAGGCCATGCCCAAGAAATCCTGCTTGTCGGGGAAAGAGACTGGGATCTTTTGGGGCACCGTGACCAACTCTGATGACTACACCAGTCAGGATAGATGAAGAAAGAGTCCAGATAAGTGAATATCTAGCTTAATTCTCTAGAAATTGATAACAGTGGCTATCAAATGATACTAAGCAACATTTATTTTCTGATCATGATCCAGAAAGTTTTAGAGTAACTCAGAGCCATTGTCAAAATGCTGATAGTTCTGTCAACTGCTTTATTGGTTGCTTGTTTCATGGTAAAGGAAGATGCCACATGTATCAAAACGCTGATAATAGTACATAATCTCCAACTTATCACAACATGAAAGTATGTCATTTAGAACCCAGGAGGCATTTGTCAAAGAAACAGCTACTCGGTGGTTAGTAATATAACCCATACAAAATACTTGCCATTCACAGGGATAATGTCTTGTCAATCGTAATACAGACTGAGCCTCTAAGGGATCATGATTTTCTGGGATGCAGGGCCAGGAAAAGTCATGTGGTCATTTAACTTTCCCTTCCAATTTGTTAATATTTACAAAGTGTTTTAAACATACAAAAGAATAGCATCCAACTTGGGGTCTTTAGCATTTGTCATATTTATTAGTGATCTTTTCTGCTTTTGTTTGATTTTTAAGAAATAAATATGACAACTGAAGACCCTCCTTAAGTACTTTGGATTATGTTCAACTTCTCCAGAATTTGAGAGCTCATCATTTCCAGTACTTTTTTGTCATTAATTTTTCTTTCTTGTACTATTTTATTATGGATTTGAGGGTTTCTTGTTTTTGTTGTTTGGCATGTTTTTATACCTTAACCACATAAGTAGACAGAAGACATCTAAAATATATTTAACATATTTAAAATACTTAACATTGTACTGTATATCTTCTTAAAATTTTTTTCATTCAGTATCAAACTTTAAAACATTATCCTTATGTATATATACCTGTGATTCATTTATTTTGTGTATATGCTGTTTCAGTGTATTAATTAACCTCAGTTTGCTTATCCAGTCTCTTAATGTACATTTGTTTATAGTAACAATTATAAACAATGTTCAAGAATTGAAAAGACTTCAGTGAACATTTTTACCTATCTTGTATTGTACTGATATTCAAGAATTTCTTCAGGATATACTGAAGGCTGGACTGCTCTGTTCTTTACAAATTCTGGATGCAAAATTTTTGCCAGCTATATTTATTGCAATTATCTTCTCGCTGCCTGTGTTACTGTTTTGCTTTGTGTATAGTTGCTTTTGTAGTAAAAATTTTTTTTTAATTTTTGTGGAATCAGGCTTATCAGTATCTTTCTTTTTAATTGATGCTTTTTTATGATTTAAAAAAAAAACCCTACCCAAACACAACAGTCTCTCCAACTTTTTTCTATGAGTCTTAAGGATTTGTTTTCCAAAAAAAAAAAAAGGGGGGAGAAAGGGGAAATGTAGTTTTTCTCACTCATCTTTAATCCAGCTAATCTTTGTATGTGGATCTTTGTGAGGAAAGGAGCTAATCATTTTTGTATATGGGATACAGTGTTCACTAAATAATACATCATCTCCCCTGCTGATTTGCAATCCCACATCGGTCAGAAATCAGCATATCTTTCCTTAAGCTTGGTAATACTTTTATCATCATCTTATCACATATTGTCTTTATAACTGCTATGGATAATTCCTCCATCATCTTTTTCTAAAAAACCACTGTCTTAGTTGTTTTAAGCTTTTGCTTGACTTAACTGGCTCTTGCATAAGAATTTTAGAATCAGTTTGTCAAGTTCTTTAAAAAAAACAAATGAAACCAAGAAAAGGTTACCAAAAAAACCCCATTGTTGTCATCTTGACTTGGATTGTAATGGACAAATGAACTAATTTGGGAAAATGTATTGTTTTTACAATATGGAATATTCTCATCAATGAACATGGTATATCAATTTAGTTTCCTTTTGTGATTTTCAAATCGTTCAGTAATTTTTTTTCTGTAATTTTCTTACTCATTTTTTCAATGTTATCCTTTGGTATCTTAGATATTTTGTTGCTATTATAGTAGTAATGTTTTAAAATTCTACTTTTTATATTGCTAATATATTAGAAAATTTGATTTTGCATTAAATTATTATTTATGGGTTTTTGGGGGCAGTACTGGGGTTTAAAGTCAGGGCCTAATGCTTGCTAGACAGGTACCCTACCATTTGAGCCATGCCCTTGCCCAAGAATATTTTAAGCTTGTAAATTTTCTATTATTTTAAATGTAGAGTATCATAATGATTGTTTCATTTCTTACTTTCAAGTATTGACCTTTCACTTCTTTCTTTTGCTATTAAAGGCCTTGAACGTCTCATATGAAGTTAAGTTCCCTTCCATGCTATATATTAGTTAATATTCACTGACATTTCCACCTTTCTAAGATCTTTCCTTACTAAGGGGGCATAAAGCCTTAAAAACTAAATTCCCTGCAATTTCTTCCCAGTAAGCTTCCATCTAGAATCAACTAATGAAAGCTGCTTGTGTGAGACAGGAAAGTAGAAGGAAAAGGAGGCCTTAAGTCTCTAGAATCAGCTGTAGGCCTAGGCAGGCATGGATGTGATGAAGGAATTTTGTCCATAGTGTTCAAAAATCCTTATGACAGCACCTCTTCTATGTGCATATAACTCAGACTCTATTGACATTATTCTCATGGATTTCCTGAGAAAATTTTCTTGATCTTTATTCTTTAGTCTTCTGATGGTTAAACCCTATAATAAACAACTTTGGATGCAATATACCTAGTAAATTTTCTACTTTACTGACAAAATATAACTGATACAGTAATTAGTGATCTCAATTAGAATATTACCACAAAAAACAACAATGGGAG